CTAGATGGGATCTGCACCTTCCAGTCTTCTGGCTTGTAAATATTGGAAGCTTTGTACTGAGGCCTGGCCTCAGTATGCCTTGGGTGACCAAGAGAAGTGGCCTTCACAGGGTTCCTTAAATTATAATACCATACTCCAATTACACCTTTTCTATAAAAGGGAAAAAAGTAAATTGAGGTCCCCATACAAATTTTCTTTCATCTCTGAGACCACTCAGACTGACTCCATAATTGCTATTTAGATACTCAAACACTGGCCATTCTTTGTAAGCCACAGCATAAACACCCTCTGCCCTACCTTCTAAGCCACCCTAATATTCAGAACCTCCTAATGGGTGCTTCCCCCTTCAACAGGTAATGGCAGGAAGACAGCAATTCTTATATGTCCCCTGCCAGTTATCAGATGTAAGGGAAATTTAAAAATATCTGGACAGCTATACTGATGCCCAGACAAATACATTCAAGTCTTTATCTCTGTGATCCAAACCTTTCAATTGACATGAAAGGATATTATGCTTCTATTAGACCAGACTCTTGTCTCATTAGAAATGCAATGGGTTCTGGCCCAAGTCACTCAGGTTGGAAATGATTACCATTTACAATAAGCCCCAATACTAATGGCACCTGGAAATGAAGGAATAAATGTGCCTACCTACAGGGGCATAGGCAGTCCCCTCGACAGATCCACACCAAAAGGGGCTTGTGATATGTCTCAAGCAGTAGAGTGCCGCTTTGCAGGTATAAAGTCCTGAGTTCAAGCCCCAGTACAGCCAAAGGAAAGGAAAAAAATATTTGGGGATAAGGAAGTAGCTCAGTGGGAGAGTGTCTGCCCAGCATGTGCAAGACCCTGGGTTCAATTCCCTAACATTGCTAAATCAAAAAAAAAAAAAAAAGGTAAGGAAGATAAGTAGCGCTAATGTCACTTCAGCCATATAGTTTAACCTAGACCAGATCCCTCATTCTTCAAGTGAGGAAACTGAGGCCCAGAACAAAATAACAACTTTGCTTTACAGCAACGCTCTAAAGAAAATCCCCTTACCTTTCTACAGCATCTTAAGGACACTATCAAAAAGCATACCACAGTGGACCCAGAGTCACAGGTGAGAGAGGTTCTCCTCAAAGATAAATTTCTAACAGTCAGCCCCAGATATTTGTAGAAAACTCAGTCTGTGGCTGAAGGAGAAAAGTCATTGGATCAACTAATACAACTAACCATGTCTGTATACTATAACCGGGACATTACTAAAAGGAGAGAAAAAGATAAGGAACACCATGACCTCATTCTGCCCCCACCCGACTGGGGCCTGCATCCTGAACTTGCTACCATGGTGGATAGGAGGGGCATTTCTGCAGAGAATGCTTAAGGGGGGACAGCCGGGAGACAGCCCCACCCCTAACCAGGACCCTGCCCTCTCTGCAAAGGTAACCACTGGAGGTCACCCAACCATCTTCTATCCTTCCATCTGGAGGTGCCCCCATCTCCAGATGGAAGGCAAGGTGCCACCTCCTATGGATTGATGGGTCCTGGGACCCTGTCCATGCTCCACTTCTTGGCATCGATGTTGAGGAGCCTCGTGGTAGCCGTTATGGCAAGAAAAACAGAAGATCATTTTCCAGCTAGACAGTGGAGCCCATTTCTCTGTTTTACCTTTTTCTCCTGCTCCCTGGTCCTATGACAAGGTTATCATTTGGGGCATATCTGGCCAGCCCCTAGAGAGCTAGTTTACCCGGCCTCTGGCCTGCTTTTTGGGAGACCTGCTCTTCTGTCACTCTTTCCTCATAGTTCCTGAAACTCCATTGACTCTGCTGGGATGGGATTTACTATCTCAACTAAAAGCTCAAATTCTCCTCCCCCCAGGCAGCTATCTCTGCTGCCCCCTCCTTCAGGAACAAATAGATTCCACAGTGTGGACTGATGGGATGAGTGTAGGTTGAGCCAGGATGGCCCTCCCTATTCAAATAAAACTCAAAAATCCCTCACAGTTTCCACACCCAAAACAATATCCCCTCAAGCCTGAGGGATGATGAGGCCTTATGCCTCTCATAAATTCCTTAAAACAACAAGGGCTACTAATTAGTTGCTCCAGTCCCTATAATAAATTCAAAATTCTTATAAAAGTTAATTTTAAAATACAAGTTACGAAGTAAACAACTGGAAAGGATATAGATAGGTAGTGAATGTATTTTTTGAGAAGTTAAAGGAAAAAGGAATGTTTTGGATGAGAAAGGATTTTGTAAAGAAGGGTTTGTCCTAAAGATTGTTTCAAATAGGAGGGATAAGGACAAGCCATCAAAGGGTTTAGTATGTTATATAAAGGTCTAAGTAAGTTTTAAAAGCATATAATAAAAAGCTTTGGTGTGTAATAAAGTTAAAGTTGAGTATAATCTAAGAGTTGCCTAAAAGATTTTTAGGGTCATGTCAAACTAAAATCAAATTCTCTATGTCTATAAAATAACAAGGTTATCTTAATATTGTTCTGCTCTGAGTAACATCTACAAAAAACCATTACAGAGAAAGATTTTATTAAAGAAATGATTTGTGTTTTCTGTGATCTTGTCAAGCTTTAAGTACTACTAAATCAGAGTTCATTTACATAATTGCTTATGTGTCTTAAATGACCACCTTGTAACAGTGTTGTGTCTATACTTTATCTAGATATGGTATAAACATTTACAAAGTTATATAAAAAAATGAGCTAGCGCTCTCTTTTATCCAAGAATGTTACATTTAAATCCTGATAGCCCCTGCCTCCCACAGGTCACCTACTTAGGTGGGGCCTTAAAGAGACAGACTCACTCCCTGAGTCATGAGTGCATCGACTCAATCCTCCATTTCCCACTCCCCGATACCATAAAGCAGCTTAGAGCTTTCTTGGGAGTTACAGGATTTTGCAGAATTTAGATCCCTAGATATGCAGTCCTTTAGCAGACACCTTTTATGCTCCTTCTAATAAACTTGCCTCCAACAGACCCTGCTCCTCTGGCTGACTACCTGCCTTACCTTAACCTTCTCAGGGAACTTCTCAGAGAGCATGCAGACCAGATCCTGCCCCACCCTATAACAATTTCTGTTAAACCAGGGTACCTTGTTCTCTTAAAGGATCTTCTACCCTCTTCATTGGGACTTCAGTAGACCAGCCTTCATCTGGTCATTCTCACGACACCCACTGCTGTCAAGCTCAATGGGATCCCCCAGTGGTGACACCTCTCAAGGAACAGTTAGAAAAACAGAAGGAAATTGGAGAACCCTTGAAATTGTCTAGGGCACAACATTTCACAGTGGTTCTCCTGGCCAGCGCCCATCCTAATGCCTATGTTTCTTGCTCTCCTATCCTTAAGCTTCCTCCCTTGTATCATACTACATGTCTGCTGTTGCTAATCAAAAGTTTAACCAGTTGTACCTCCAGGGATACCAACCTCTCCAAAACTGTCCAGAGGACTGCTATGAGGGCCCCCACCAGGACACAGGAGTCTGAGGATCTCACCCCATACAGCGCCCCCTGCCAGCAGGAAGCAGCTAAAAGGCCAACGCTTCACCCCAATTCCTGATCCTCAGCTCCTACCCTCATCATTATTAAAGAAAAAATGGGGGAATGATAGAACAATAATGTTGCCATTTGTAAATCGGCAGCCACTTTATCCTCAGGCCTCACTTGAGAAATGGAGCCATTCCCAGTAACAGCTCCGCCCCTACCAGAGACTCCTGTGCATGCCCTAACTTCCTTAACCTCCGTCTCCTATAAAAGCCACACCTGGCCCAGAGTGTGTGCTGCACCATCTTTCTCCAGCCAGCCTGGCAGTTTGGGCCTGACATTAAACTTTGCTCTATGGATGTGAGACTTTTTTTCCTGAGCTTTCTTTGTGAGCAGCATTTTTCCTAACATGTGGTTTTCAAAAACAATGTCTGATCAAGAGTAGAAGAGGAACTATTTGGGAAGAGGAAGGGGACCAGCAGGAGGTGGGAGGGGGAATAAAAGAGAGCAATGGGAGGGTGAATGTGATCAAAGACCACTACCTACATTATGAAAATGTCATAATGAAACCCATGATTTTGTAGAATTAATGCACACTAGTTAAAAAGGAGAAAATAATGTCTGATGACTATCATGTTCACAAGCCAATACCACCTCATAGCTATGCTTAGCATGATACACAAATTACAAAAAGTGTAGAAGATAACATGCATTTAGGTGGGGTAAAGGAAAATAGTAGCACCCATCCTTCAAGCAGAGGAAGATCAGTTTCATCTCTTGGCAGACCTGATTTCTGTTCCCTTTCTTCCCATATGGACATTATCCTCACCCTCTTGCTCTCTAGACTAGCAGGAATTTTTGTCTTTTTTCTTTTTCCTCTTCCTTCACATTATAACCTAGGAAACCACTTGTTTATTTTTTTCTTGTTTCAGTGAAGTTACATTTTCCTTAACTTGGCTTTACTCTTGCAAATTATGGTTCATTTTTAAGCATGGATGCTGGAAAAAGCGTCTAAGAAGCCCTAGTTTTGCATTATAAAGCCAGGCCTTTCATTTTGAATTATCTTTCCAGATATTCATGCAGATTTCAAGTCTTTTTTACTACATCACAAAAGGATTTATGAATAATTCATTATCTCAGCATTTTTAAACAAAAAGTTATTCTTTTATGGCAGATCTAGAAGGCTGAAAAGTTTTATCAAGCGTTCTAAATACATAAGACCTCACCAAAACAAAAAAGTAAGCTCTACTATAACTAATTAGTTTAAAATAGTTTAACTGTGATGTTTATGTAGAAAATGGGAAAAGAGAAGAAAGCTAACATATGTTGAGCAACTATTATGCGCCAGAAACTGTGCCAAAGCTTACATTATATAATCTTTGTGACAACTTGTAAATTAGATTTAAAAACTAATGCTCAGTGTTTTGGTAACTTGTCCAAGATCATCACAGGGGATGGGGCTCAGTTCAGAGAATGCTTAGCATGACCTAAAGTCTGCCTTCTTAAAAGGATGAGTGGGTTTACTTACATTGTTGTTGGTCACAGCAAAGTACTGCAAATTACTCAGATACTGGATTTCTTCTGGAATGAAGGTCAGATGGTTATAGCTTAGATCCAAGTAATGGAGTTTGGTGCATAGAAAAAGCTGCAAGGGCAGATTCTCAATATTGTTATGATCCAGGGAGAGCTGCTCTAGGTTAGACAATGCCCCAATCTGGGCAGGAATATAAGCAATATTATTGTGCCATAACTTTAAGCAGGAAAGATTCTGGAGATGCTGAAAGCTAATGATTTCTTCCACAGTTTTAAGGTTGTTTTCCTTTAGGTCTAACTCATGCAAATTGTTCAGGCTGAAAATGGAGTGTGGAATGCGTTCCAGGTCACAGCTGATCAGTTCTAGGCTTTTCAGATTGACCATCTTTTTTAAGTTGTTCAACACAACCAGTTTACTTCCTTCGTTATCCAGAGACAGCTTCTGCAGCAAAGGCAGGAGGTCTGTAATGACTTGGGGGATGCGAGATAGGCTGCTCTTCAAGTAGAGGGCCCTCAGGTTCTTTAAGTCCTGAAAGCCCTCAAATTGCACAGCACTCAACTGCTCAGGGAGGACAGAGCCTGACAGATAAAGTTCCTTGAGATTCTTCAGGTGAAAAACCCAGCGTGGGATTTTTCCCATTTCAGTAAATTTCAGGCGGAGGATTTTTAAATTCTCCTCTAGAAAGGCCAGTGCAGGATGGTCGACCACCAGGGATGAATGGTACACATGAAGCTCCTTGAGGTTGACCAGCTGCGAGACTGCGGAAGGCAGCTTGACCTCGGGAATGAGCTCCAGGCTTAGCACTTCCATTTCAGTTAACTCAAAGACATTGTCTGGAAGACCACTGAGCATGAAAAGATGCAATTCTATCTTGTCCTGGGAGTTTTTCACAAGCTTACTTTTCAGTTTCTCAACCGTCCATTCATTATTGAGGTTGATCTGTTTCAGTTTGTTCTCACTGACCTCTGACAAGAATATGGAGAAGCGTTTGGAATAAAGAGGATCATACTGATCAGCCAGATGAAGGATGAAGGCAAAGTCATTCCTGACATCTGGGATATCACTGTAGTTGCTTTTTTCTCTTAGTGCCTCAAAGGAATACTGCTTCAGGGAACTCCTCAGCATCCACCACAAGCTGTAGGAGGAGGTGAGTCCATAAAGTATTACCAAAATGACATAAAATGAAGCCAGGACTTTAAATATTTCTGCCAAGGAGTAGACACACTGGTAGCGCTTATATCCTGTAAAAGCCTGCACATCAATTGAGCAGTCGATTTCAAGAGTGATGTAGGTTAAAAAATATGGAACATAAGTTATGATGAGGATAAACAAAATGACTTTGACTATTATCTGCTTCAGATATACCCGATAAATGATGTCCTTCTGCTCCACATGCATACGGAATCTTTTCACTTTTTCAAAGATGGCTTTGGCTTGTTCACCCTCCTTCTTGTCCAGGACACTAGAAGTTGGGCTTTCTATACTAGCTGACTCCAAGCCTGGCTGTGGGTAGGGCAATGACTGCTTACTGGAATCAACATCAGCTGAACACCCTGAGGTTGAAAGCAGAATCTTGGACTTGGAGAGTTTCAAGGGCCTCACTGACTGCTCCGCTACCGTTTCTGACAGGGCACGGGTGGTCCACGGAGAATCAAAGCACTTGTGAAGGATGGCCACAAAATGCTCCAGCCTGGAGCTGGTACTGGGGTAGTGAAGCCAAAAGTTGCTGCAGGCTGCAAAGATAAGAGTGTGCAAGAGCACCAGGTAGGGGAAAAACTTTGCAAACCAATGGAGCTGTTTCTCGTAACAGACAGCATCGATGTAGGAGTACTGCTGTCTGTGGAGGTCATTCTGGATTCGGAGGGGCAACGGAAGTGGCATCCCAGAATTAGAGGAGGTGTTCATGCTGGATTTCAGGATGTCCCAAGGCACGGCACAGTGATTGTCGAACTCCACTTTGCATGGAAGACAGCACAGAACCCTGCTCTGGGTAAGCTGGAGAGCTCCAGCCAGCACAGCCACCAACAGCATGATAAGAGTGATGTAATACCAGAAGACGTCCCACCAGGGTTTTAAGATGTGATAAGATGACTGGGCGTCTGCTAAACATTTTAGCTCTGTTAGTGTAATCATGACTTTCCCTTGTTTGAGTACAGAAACTGGAGGAGGAAAATAAAGAAAACACTACTGAAACAGGTACTCTAACACGTATTTAACTCTGATGCATGTACATGCATAACCTACCCTGTGAGGATTATAGCTCAAGGGTAAAACCTGAGATAAACCCTTGAGGGTAAACCCTTGAGATCAAGGGGCACATAAAGTCTCTTGGTTTCATTTGGAACTGTAGGCCAACCCAACTGTGCACTGTAAAGTCCTTTGGATGGGGGAACTTGGTGATAGTTACATCTGTACAGGGATTTGGAGGTTGTCCCTGACGCAATTATTTAGTTACTTCCTGGGTCTCAACTCCAGTCTGGGTTATTAAAAACAGGGACCAGTTTCTCTTCAACTGACATTGGCCAGATTTGTTCTTGTAATACTGATTTCTAACAGTCACATTTCTGACCCTCCAAGAGTTCTGAATAAGCTCCTGTGCTCATCCTGCCCCATGTCAGAAGCATTATTTACAGCCCAAGAGTTATTTCAATCACCATAAGGAACCACGTTTGAACAAGCTCTGCTTTATAAAAATGTCCTTTAGGCCTATAGGAATTTACCCATGGTCTCCAAAATAAATTGCCACATAATGCATTACCTTTTTTCCTCTCCCAGCTATCACTTTGTAATTTAAGCACATTGAGTATTTAAAAACTTAAGAGTATTTAAATGTTGGGAAACAACACCAATGGTTTAAAAAGGAATAGGGGGAAAATACTGTTAGAATACTCTATCATGGGGACCCCTGAGGTTTAATATGACACACAGCACTAAAAGGATATATGGTTAAGGCATACTCTATTATTTTTACCTTCAGAAAAACAAGATGGAGTTTATGTTTTTGCATTGAAAAGTATTCAGATAACACTTGAGAATTTCTATGTTTAGCCTTACTTACATCAATTATTTTAAAAATTATTAATTAGCAAAATCTAGACCACCTACAAGATGGTAGAGAGTCACATAAAATGAAATATTTGGAGCTTATAAAGTATCTAGTAAGAAAAAAATTATGGTAGCAGATGTCGCTTAGCTGGGAGGACACCTCTAATGTAATCTTTGTCTTGGGGCTGCTCTTGGGCTTTTTTGAGTCTGAAGTTATCAGTTTTCCTGGGCTTCAGTTTCTCTCTAGGTACCCTATCATGGTAGCAACCCCAGGGAAGTCCTTTTTGCTCTTATTAGTAAGTCCTTCTTCTAGAGACTGGTACCCCTCTCCTTGAACCCTAGAAGCTGATTACAGAGGGCTGGCATCTGCTAGTATCTTCTCTTGTGCTGGTCATCCTCAACATATTCCTGACCATCTGACCATCTATACCTTCAAGTTCTCCAACCTGTTAGGGTATCCCCAATTTTAATTCCTGGACTAGAACACCACTTTCTATATGCATCCTCTCTAGGCATATCATATTATGCAGACTCAACTTCCTCCTAGGGCCTGTGACTGATTATATAACTCTGAAGGGCTTCCCTCCTTTACTTTAGCTTGGTGGGTCTGACTCTCAATTCCTCCCATTCTGGCTCACCTCTAATGCAGTTAACCATAACTGTGTGTCAAGGTAAAACAACAACAAAAAAACCAAGAGGATTACAGGAAATAAATAGAAAGTTCTGGTCTTAGACTCCAAAATACCATGTACAAAGTACCAGAAAACATTACTGGATGAAAGGACATGTAAAAATACTGATGGACCTTAATTGACAAGTATGCATACCTTTGGCTAATCATTTGACAACTATTATGCTAACACAGTGATTTGTAACCTTTGGCCATATTACTAGATGAATTCAGATTAAGGGGTGACAGTTGTGTGCCTCCCTAGTGAAAGCATACATGGATCCCAATGCCAAGTTACAGGTTAAAGATGAAAGGGCCCCCAAAGACCAAAAATCGTATGTTCTCCCTCATATGCAGACATTAGATCAAGGGTAAACACAACATAGGGGACTGGACTTTGATCACATGATAAAGCGAGAGCACACAAGGGAGGTATGAGGATAGGTAAGACACCCAAAAAATTAGATAGCATTTGTTGCCCTCAAGGCAGAGAAACTAATGCAGATACTTTAAAGTGACAGAGGCCAATAGGAGAAGGAGATCAGGAACTAGAGAAAAGGTCAGTTCGAGAAGAATTAATTTAGAAGGTAACACACATGTACAGGAAAGCAATGTGAGTCAACTCCCTGTAGAGCTATCCTTATCTCAACAAGTAAAAACCCTTGGTCCTTCCTATTATTGCTTATACTCTCTCTTCAACAAAATTAGAGATAAGGGAAAAATAGTTTCTGCCTGGTAGTGAGGGGGTGGAGGGAGAGGGAGAGGGTGGGGTAGGTAAGGGAAGGGGTGGGGGGAGGGGGAAGGGGGGAGAAATGACCCAAACATTGCATGCACATATGAATAAAAGAAAAAAAAAGATGAAAGGGCCCAAAAAACTCACCAGGAGCTGCCATCTAAAACCATTCCCTACAGAGGAACACAGGGCATTGATGATATTCTATTGATACAAAAAATGATTAGGGGAGCCTAAGAATGTATCTTTACATTTTTGTGCAACTATCTGATGGATGAAAGAATATATGGATTTGTTTCAGAGGCAGAACTAAGTGGGTAGATTTAGTTAGAAAGTCATATTTTGACTCAACCTGTTGGTGGAACATCACAGAATTAGCTGTTCTTTGAAACAGTTCAGTTCCTTATCCCTCGTTGGGTCTAGATGAATAAAATGACCACCATTCAAGGATGTTGTAAAGGAATTTGTTGTAACAGAGAAATAAAGTGAATTGGATAATTTCTAAGGGCTTTTTCCAGCTCTGATTATGATTTTATCCATCCTCTAAGGGTCCTAGGAGTTACTTTTATTTAAGACATGCAACTGAAATTGCAGCAGAATGAAAACAAATAGCTCAAACAACACTAAAGGTATTTGGCAGAGAACAGAGATTTAGTCAGCAAAGAATCCAAGCCAACACTGACCAATATAACATACTTTCAATATTTGTACTTACTATTAAAGAAAAAATGAGTCAAATAAATCTGCTGTGCTTCAATCAGGAGGTCTACACCTTTTGAAGTTTCTTAGACACACCATCTCTGAATTTGTCTTCATTCTATAAGAAAGCATAATTATCTTGAAAGAACTATACTCATTTAAATAAATGAAAGCTTTGGAGATACTGGCTTTGTAGACCCTCTCCGTAAGGAGACAAAATACTGCAAACAGATTTTTATATGTCTGTTTATTTTTCACAAGGGGACATGTTCTGGCAATGCTGTATAAACAGGACCCCATTCACACATCAGAGTACAAGAAGTTTCTACAGAAGTTTAGGTGGAGCATATTTTAAGATTCTATAGCTATAACCTTAGCTTTTTCCAAGTAGTTTTCATATGTTAATTTCTCTTACTCAGCCTCATACACAGTTGGTCTCATTTGCATTTGTCAGATGGCTTGTCAAACCATGTAATTTCTTACCCTTATTTAAAACCACCATTTACCCAAATGAGATGTCTCAAGGCTCCAAAAATTTAGCCTACCAATTTCATTAGAAAAAGTCACAAGGCAATAACATTTTTCACATACGGCTCAGAAATATGGATGAACTTCCCTGAATTTATGTTATTAAATATAGCTATAATTTATGCTAGTTTTTCTAACTTTAGGTTCATAAAAGTCATTCTTGGCACCTACCTCAAACATTTGTGACACTTAAATTATATATATATTGATGAGTTTGAACTGTGAGAAAATTCTAAAATGCTAGAACATTTTTAACTGAGTTTAAACATTAGTATTTAGTGCCCATGGAACCTCAAAAAAGTTGCTAGAAATGTTTTTTAGGTTTTTATTTCCCTTGAAGATATAATCCTTCAAAAAATTTATTAAGTACCTGAAACCCTGCAAAGAATACTGATATTGAATTATATTCAAGACATTTTTAGCAATAATCTTGTGACCATATTACTTCAAATATCAAAGGCTGGGGATGTCTGAAATTTACTTTGGTTTTATGAAGCTATGTGCAAAGCTTGCTTTCTAATTAATCTCCATACTTTGTGTTGTAATTGTTTTGCAGGTTAAAAAGCACAGTTAGAATGTGTGACAATGTAACTGTGAACTGATCCATAAGAGGGCATTACTATAGTATGAATTTGCAACATATAATACATGACCACATTTATATGAAGAGAGCTGGATAAAGATATCTGGGGAGAGGGTATAGCTCAGTGGAAAACTGCATGCTTAGTATACATGAGGCCCTGGGTTCAATCTTCAGCACACACACAAAAAGACACCTTAATGTGTAAAACATTTTATATACTCTTCCATAGTGTTGCATCTATAACGTGTCAGAAAAGAATTTATTGGATAATTACACAATGCTACTCAGCCATCAAGACACTTCTTATACAATAGATTCCTTAAGTAGTACAAATCCATTTTCTACTTTATAGATAGATATCAACCTCCAACTATAATCATAATGAGAAACTAATATAAACTCATCTGCCAGAAGACTGCAGCTGAATACAGGTTTGCATATTCACTCTATCTGAAAAATTAATTGTCAATAATTTTTCCAATCTTTTTTAAAACTGTAGACTTTCCTCTGACTGTCTAATTCAGATTTCCTTTGATGAGCTCCTCAATGAGAGCAAATGAAAATCTATTATTATTAATCTAGCATCTGCTTTTCCACATTCAAAGAATATTTTATTTACATCAATTTGTTTCATACTTACAACAAGCCACTGAGATAAATAGTATTCCTCATATTACAAACTTGAAAAATAATACTGGCCTTCAAATTTTACCTTGCCTAGGAAATAAAATTACAACTGGAATTCAGGAACTTAAATCCCAAGCCTTGTCCACACATGACCACATGCCTTCAATGAATCCAATTAGCTATGTCACAGTCTCCATTTTCTGAAAAGCTGGAGAAAAAGCTATTTAGCTCTTTCTCCCAGCATTTGCATTATAACTATATTCTATTATAATCTTGAAAAAAGATACAAATGTAGTTTTTTGCAATGACTCCAGTTATACAGTCACATACCATGTAATCTACTTTCTTGGCTAAATATTTTTTCTACTAAATGTTTTCTACTGAATTAAGATGTAACATTTAAATACATTGTATCTGGATTTAAAGATACATGAAAATGTCAAGTATTTCTATATTAATGCTGCTGATTTTTCTAATTGAAGTGCTTAGCCAGAGTTAGAGCCATTATGCCACTTAATACTGTTTTTGTGTGCTCCCAATTTTCTCCAGACCATATTTTAGCAAAACAATGAAGATTCAATCCAAATGAGATCACTATTTCTAATATACAAATGCATTAAATCAGTTCAAAGAAATAATGTTAAGAGTAACAGATTTTATGATCCTAATCCCATTCCTTTAGTTTTTAAATCTCATTAAAAAGTCATAAAAGCTTTTCAAAGCACATAAATCCATCTGACAATCTCATCCCAAAGTCTCTAAGACTGGAACAAAACACTCAAGTAAGGCATCTTTATTTCCCAGTAGTCCTTATTTTACTTTGAAAGCATTTCCAAAATAACCAGTGAAAAAATAAACAAATGATGATCAGATGGCATTTAGAGTCATTATACGCTGAGAACTGGATGCTACTTCAAAGATCTCTGTCTCTGATCCCAAGCAAACAACCGAACTGGGGGTTTTCTACAGCAGTCACTGAAAATTGAGTTAAAAATACTTATATCCCATCAACATGTACACTGCTACTTCCACCAAGATGTTGTTTGGGTCTTACCTGTATCTGACTGAAATTTAAATTCATCTCTTTGAGCTTTCTCTCTAGAAAACAACTCACCAGCACCTCTGATTAATTTGCTCCTCCTCTTCATACAAAGCAACCCATTAAACTAACTCTTCAGAAACCCGAATACAAGACTTTAACATTTCTCATGAACTTCACAAGGGGACCTGATAGATTAATATCCTTATATCCCTTCCCAGTTCTTTCAGATCTGATCAGTATACACACTTTCAGATAACAAACATCCTTTCTAGTTGAGACCTAGAAAGAAACTAAGAAATTTATCTAGTAGAGTATTTCTGTAACATTAACACATCCACAAAAACCATAAAAAGTCAAAATACATTTTTCTTTTTAAAAAGCTGGTTATTTCCAATATTTTGTGTCACACTAAGAGAAAACTGACCAACACGGTCACTGTAAATTAAAATGTAATTAAAATTTAACACCATTTAGCAACATTAGATAGAGGTCTGTGGAGATGTGGGAGTGAAATGGATTCAGATTTTGATCCTATGCTATAACTGTGTCTTACATAGTTTCTAGCACACGGTACATGATGAATGCTTATATAATAAAGTAAATATACAAAATGCAAAACCCAGGAAAAATGTTCAGATATTTATGCAGCATGCATTCAAGGTGACAGAATCTTTGAATTGGCCTGAGTGGGTGAGTGGGGTGGGTCTAGGATCCAGCAGCAGAAGAAAGGATTAACTAATTCCAAATCTTGATGGCTTAAAAACAACTAAGGTTTTATTTCTTGTGATTCTGTGGAACATTCTTTTAATTTATTTTGTTGGCCAGCACAAAAATGGCTGGAAAGCCCCACATTCATTAGGCTTGCAGTTGTTTCTATCTGCTGGCTGAGAACTTCACAGGATCTTTCGTGTGATTTTTTGAATGTGATCAAAGAGCACAATGGCTGAGTACTAAGATGATGCACTGCAAGCACAAAAGTAAAAAGCTATAATTCTTTTAAGGCACAGCATTTGAAGCTATACAGTGCTGTGTTCACAAATGTCTGTTGATTAAGGGAGTCAGCAGGCCAGCCCATATTCAAGAGGAGAGGAAGGAGACAGTAACTCTCAATGGCAGGAAAGAATTTGTAGCCATGTTTAATCCCCACAGTCTACTCTCTATGAATAACTTACTTTCTCTTACATGGAAAGCACACAAGCCTTCTTCCAAAAGTTTCATCCTGACACAGCATCAAATTCACACTTTAAGTCTAACATTGTTATCTAAATCAGGTCTAGGATACTATAGGACATCACCCTTGAGAGTCTTAGAGGCCCTTCCAACTAACTGAGAGGATTGAGGAGGCACTGCCTTAAACTGTTTTGAAGTTTTAATATAGAGTCTTACAGCTGTGCCCTTGTTTTTATTTTTACCTTGAGCCAAGATTTACTGGAAGTAGTACTTTGGATCTGATCTTTGGACATGAAGCCAATTGAGTACCATTTCCTGGGAATGAGAAATAGTTGTTTTTTTTTTTTGAATGACACTGGCAAGTATTTTTGGAGCACATAAATCAGAATTTCAAGGAAAGAAGCTGACATCACAGTCAAATAATACAGAGAAACCAGAGAATGGAGATATGTTGAGCTGGTGATGTGGTTCAAGTGGTAAAGCACCTGCCTAGTAAGCACAAGGTACTGAATTCAAACCCCAGAAGCAAAAAAAAAAAAAAGAACAGAGATATGTAGCTACCATTTGTCAATTTCCTACTCAAATCTGTAGAGTGATAACAGGCAAATAATATTCTAAATGTTAGGAAAGTCACCCCAACCATCTAAAGCTCCAGGAGACGTTACTAAGTAAATGAAATCAAATTGGATAAACAAATGAACTAATTAATTAAAGTTACTGAATGAATTAAAATCATAGAAACAATTCTAGAAATCCTAATGAAATCTGAATTGTTTTGAATTTAAGGAACTTTGCTTCACTTTTTCTTGTTTCTAATGGCTATAGAACATAACACATATTTAATCTAGATATTTTTAGGAAAAGACTTTAATTCTTTGATGCTTTTAGTAGGCTACCATATTCTCTAAAATACATTTTAAATGAAAGAAGTTGTGGCTACATTCCCAGCATATTAATACTGGAACATAAGCTAGGAGTGGTTACATAATTCTTAAGAGACAAGGTACAAATAGAAGGTAACCTCAAGTTCTTTATGACCTTTTTCTTGGTGGCACTGGGGGCAGGGCACCTACTGCTTGAGCCACTCCTCCAGTCCTTTTTGTGATGGGATTTTTTTGAGATAGGGTCTCATGAACTATTTGTCTAGGGCT